AGGGTGTGCAACACAGATATTTGTACAGAGCACCTGTACAACAGTTTCTCAAAGGTATAAACTCACTATGAGCAAATGGGTAGAAGAGCAGGGATTTTTTTAATAGGTACATCTTCCATTAAGACACATGCAATGATTGGCTAGTGATCTATACAACAATTACTTTTAATCGGGAATATATTACTAAACAGAATCTCAGTCAGAAAATCTATTTTACTTTGAATTCTGATCACTCCATCCTGACAGGAGTCAGTTATTTTTTCCCTTAAGCAGAAAAAATGTGCAGGTATTTATCACAATCACAAATCACATTTTTCTGAACTCAGAACCAGATCAAAGTAAAACAGGGGAAGAAAATGCTCTGAAGAAACACAAACATTTTAAAAACAATCATTTTTCTAAATGGTTTTATTTACATTTTTCATATACAAGTATGTTGAACGATACATTCTGGCTAGAATCCACACCAGTGTGAATTACATGAAATTAAATATACTGATGTATTGCATATGATGAAATGCTAMACAACCAACCCTGAGCCTCAGTGACATAAAGCCTTCCCACCCTCTGAATCCTCACACAGCAACTGTTTTGTTATTGAGACATCTAAAATTAAAAATGTTCGTGTTAATTAGAGGTTATATAAACAATTAAATCTAGTTTCATTTTTTTAGAGCAAGCAGTTACATGTCTCAAAAAAAAAGAAGGCAAAATGAAAAATACATATAAACAGCCAAACACTTTACATGCATATTACTAATTTTATGTTTATTGTTTCTGGATGCAGGGTATTTGCCACAACTGTCTTGCATTACGGCAGCTTCTCAAACCCTACGAGCAACTGTTCAGCATGGCAAGGAGATACCAAAACTAGCCCAGTGAGGAAAGAGGTGTGATGTGATCAGGCCTGACACGTTTGGAACTACAGATTAATGTCTCCATTTACAGCGACAAGTACTAAAAATTTTTAAGGAACAGCAATAACCTTGATAAAAAAAGCTATGAATGTATGGACAGAGTTAATTGTACTCAAAATGATTTTCAACTGAGTGATTTCTCAAGGAAAACTAAAGGAAAAAAGGTGACAACTTTAAATGTGTGTTGCAGAAGAAACTGAAATATTTACAAAATTGGTGGTGAAAGTTCTTTCAAGCGTATCAAAAGCATTATCCACTCATTCAGTATCTAAAAKATGAGTCAAACAGACAAAGAGATGGAAAAAACAGCAACAGGCAGCCAGGCCTGTGGGGCCAGAAGTGCATTACATCAGAATTTATTTTTACATTCCTGCAGCACCTTTCAGCCAGATGCCAAAAGTGCTGTAAGCACTAAAGCAGGCCTCACAACAACCCTGTGAGGTAGGTAGATAACTGTGTTGTTGTAACTGGAACCCAAGTAACTTACCCAAGAAGGCACAGCAAATCAGGAGAGCAGACAAGAACCGAGATCACAGGATCTGTGAATTTTACATTACAGCACACATGGAACCTTGAGACTTAACATGCTACTTTGCAAAACTATTAGAGAGGCACTGATAGTGCACTGAGTCTAGTTTGCTGGAAGGAGATTTTTATGGAAAAGGTATCAAGAGAAAAGCGTCCTTTAAGCAATTGGAAATAAAGCCCAAGCAACAGAAGTGGCCAGCTCTGCCCCATATCTTAAATTTCCATAGATACAGAATGTATTAGCAAGTTTTTACTTGACAAAATATGTATCAAAAATAGACTGTCAGATTCACATTCTCACAAGTCTTAAGYATTTAAATGTCGTGACCAAAAACTGTGACCTGGGGGCCATTTCACCAACTTCTATTATTCCTATGTCTTGCAACTACTGCTTTTTAATGTGAAAGAACCAGACCGAAAATCAATTTTTGAGTAGCTCAAACTTCTAGTAGAGGTGCCTTTAGCAAAACTGTCAAAAAATGCTTTGCCCAGTTAATCTCTGCATGCTACTAATGCAAACCAGTTACAATAAAGAGACCACAACATATAAACAGGTGCTTTGGAAACAAGGCATTCTGTTACTTCAGTAGCCTGGGTATCAAAGGCAGTAAGTTAGATAGTGAACTAAGTGCTAAGCTCTGATCTAACTATATTCCACTAGGGAACAAACTCATACAAGAAAAAGAAGTGAGTTGAAGAAATACAGCCATGCTAAAACAAGAAGCAGTCACATCAGTAAGGGCTGCACTTCAAGTTTTATATTACAAAATGACTGACCATAGGCTGACAAAAAGTTTTGTCTRTGCAGAGTATAAAAAAATAATTGCTGCTTAAAGACTGAAAATGACTATAAAGAATGCATTTCTAAGGTTAAGTAAAAGAGAGATTTAAAGGTTTCTAATAATTTTATAGAGGAAAGTTGTTACAGGTTAATTCACATTTTGTAATTTTTACCCTAGCTCTTGTTTCAACAGCAGAACACTACTATGTCATGGCATTAGTCTCAGACATACGTCGTTCAGAGAACAAAATTCTCCAGAGAAAGACCATGTGCCAGAAAACATCTTCACTTTCCTCTGCCTTCCTGTCTTTACAATGGAAAGAGGAAACAGGTATCATTTTAAAGACAGAAAGTGTCGAAAGTGTTGTGCATTTTTAACTTCAGGAAAAAAAATACATATAGCTTAAAGATGATTGAAGATTCACCAATTTCCAGATTTAAAATACCAAAGCAGTGAAAGCTATTGAAAAACAACACTAAACCAAGATTTACAACAGGTTTACTTTTCCAACTCAAAGCTAGAAAAGCTATTCCAGATATCCAAAATAAAATTCCTAACAGGAAAATAGAATAAAGTTTCCAAGGAAAAAGGCTTCTGGAAAATATCTTCCCTATGCTGTTTGTATATTTAAAGCTGTATTAGAAGAGGCCTCAAGACTCTAACTTATATCTACAGCAGTCTTTAAAACTTGAGTCTTAATTTGTATTCTACCTCACAGTATTTGAGAATGCATTTCATTCTGAATTTATTCTCAGGCAAGCCTGCACATGATGTATAACTTACAACACCACCAGCAACAGTGCCCAATTACGTGAATATATTYTTCTGGTGAAGAATTTGAAAAACAGAGCTATTTCAGCTTATGTAAACAAATAGTTATGCTCACTGAAAAAGGCAAAGCTAAGTATGTTGCATTTTAGTTATAACAATAACTATGTGAGTTTAGAGAAATTACTAGGCCCAGGAAAGAAAAGCTGTGAAACAAAATCAAGTTTTAAAAGTCTGTTTGCTAAAGCAAGAGATGCTAAGTTTTTCAAAAATAATCTTTCATTTCTTTCTAATTTCTTTTCAAGTATAACCTTGCCAGAGTTCTACAGTTCATCTTTTCACTGTTTTTAATAAAAGAATTCTAYAGTCTAGATACATTATGTGTAATTATAGATATAACCACAGAGAGCTTGTGATCTCTGTACTGATTCATTTGTTGTCAAGTTCAACCTTGTGTTATTTGTTTACCATACTTGCATGATAAAGCCATCTTCCTTCCTTGAGGTAGTACACAATAAAYATATTCTACAGACTGTTTTAAGCTTTGCCACTGTTTGTGTTTGTAAATATTATTAGATAGCTTAGATAAAAAGCACTGAGGTAATGTATGTCCAGTCATTTCTGAACAGGGCTCAAGACAAGAAACCTGAGATGTTAACACTGATAGGAGTAATTCCTGCTGAAGGATCTATAATGCAGTATAGGCTTTCTGAGCAGGTCTTGCCTCACATTTGAGGCATATAAGTTCTAAATAAGCCCCAAATCCCACAGGAATTGGGTAACAGTAAGGTTAGTCTCAAATTAAAGACTAGATTTTATAGAAAACTTTGCAGGAGTACAAGAAGTGGAGGGATATGGCTGCAAGACCCCAAAAGGTAAAATTCACAGCAGGATGTGTAAGAATATTCACAGTTTCCCAGGTATGTTTTATCACTGACATTCCACTGACACTTACTTACTATAAAYTACTGGAAGCAAAATAGTGAAAATTCTAGGCTATTTCATTACGTAATATTGAATTTAGGTTGCACTATTACACCTTACTATTAACTGCAATRAACATGTTTGTTAATCAGATTCCCATGATTGCAATTACTTCAAAACCTTTGAAAAATTACTCCCAGAAATTAGTTGAGCAAATAATTCTATATAGAGAATTTTACATACAGAATTTTACAAGGTAGTTCGGCTACTGATTGCTGGTAAGATATTTTCACATAAAACTGAAAAGAAATTTAACTATATCATTAGTCATCTCAGGAATAAAGGTCTCCACCATTGCAGATTAGCATGCAAAAGACTTCTCTCAAGAAAAGTGTGCTCCTAAAAAGATGCCCACAAARCATGTGTATTGGTAGATACTTTCAGCTAAAGGAATACTGAGCTTGTACAGTGCATTTCATGGCACATCATTAAAGACTGTTCAAATGGGTCAATGCACTTAAAGGGAACAAAAATTGCTGTAGTCTTACACAGTTACGTAAATCATAACTTGGGGGAGATTTTTTTTTTTTCAAGTTAAATGCTAAAGCCATGCCTTTTCCCAGAATTTTAATTTCAGAAATCAGTTTCCACCCCACACCCTCCCTGAAAACACTATTCAGAAACGCTCGAACCCCTGAGGAAGCAAAAATATTAGAAGACCCAAACATTCATACAAAGTCATTCAAGTTTGTACGTATGAATAAAAAAAGAGCTCTAAATAAATGACACAGGAGGCAATAAATTGACACGACAAGTAAATAAAAGGCTAAAGCACTCCAATACCATTGAAACTGTTTTAATGTTGTTGCAATTCCATAATGCAACAATCATCAACTCATAAAAGACCCAGTACTTTAGAATTCATTTTAATTATTCCTTTGTACCTATTTTACAAAATAAAGGCAAGGTATATTTAAAATCCTCCTTTCCCCAGGCTTTATGTACCTATCTTATATTTATGAGAACGTAAACTTAAATTCCTATTAAATATTATATAAGAAAGAAAAGTTAAAATATTAACCTCTGCTTCAATGTACAGTTTCCAGAATCTGCCAGAACTGGGGAACTGGGCAACAAGGCGTTCATAGGTCTTCCGAGCTTTGTCTATAGGTTGATTCTAAAAATTGAAAATCAAAATAGCATTTACAATATTATGATTTATGTAATGAATATGCTGATTTTACTCCAGAACCAAATAGTGCCAGTGGACCATAGATAAGGAAATGTAATCCTATGTCACTAAACCTGTGCCTCTCGAATGAGAATGCTCCAAGCGTCAAGGTCATATGGATTCTCTTCTAGTTTCTTTTCAGCTTTCTTCACTTTTTCTGGGACATACTCGGCAGCCTAGAAAAATCAAAGGAAAGACATAAGAGATCACAAGCAGAATTTGAGAAGTTCAGTCCCAGCTAGACAGTCAAGCTAAGTACAACATTCTGACAGTGTAACATTTCAGATCTCCATTTTTACGCTGGAGCTATTAAACTGTAATTTTATATGTAAAGCAAGCTGTCCTACTAACACAACACACCCTAGCACAACAAACTTGATATATTCGGTGACCGAGCAAAAAGCTCAACTGAACTGAACAAGTGGTTTTAAAACACGGTAGAAAAAAAAATACATGTCTCAAGCATATCTAATTTACTGTACCAGTTAAGTTATTCTGCATATGCAGGAAAGCAAATATTTTGTGATACTTTTACTTACTTTTGATACTAAAAGCTTTGATACTAAAAGCTTTGCCAAATTGAACACTAATTGCTAAAATGGCTACTATTGCAGTATACCTTTAAGTGCACTTTTTTGAAAGAGTTGTGAAAATACCTTGCTTTATAATCTCCAGAAAGTTTGCTAGTGTTAACACTGTACTATCTCAAGTGGAAAAAAAAAAATCTATGATGACTGCATTCATATAAGCTTTAAAATGCTTGCCACAATCCTAAGTGATATTTTTAAACAGGAAAGACTGTTCTGACCTTTACTTCAAACATTTTTTAACCTATGCAATCCTAAATTGCACAATCAAGTAAACTGCTGCCCTCAAAAAGATGCAACAGTAACAAGCTGTTAATACTAAATTATTACAACTAGATGTTTCTTGTAAAATTTTACAAGCTAGCTACATATTTACTGTTACGATACACTGTTTTGTATTACCTCTTTAGCAGTGACTATCTCGCAGTTTACAATTTTACAGCTCTGAAGATTTAATAGGCATCAAGTGGGACAAAGAATCCATACACCCTATCACAAGTTATTTCATATGCTTAAAAAGAGAAAGAGAAGGCAACTTGAGAGGTGTAACACCAGAGTGGTGAGGCCGAGTTACTCTGAAACATCACGTTTTTATTTTCAGGAGTGGGAATTTCCCCTGCTCCTTTTTTTATTCCTGTTAACCTTTGCAGATGTACTACCAACAGCTGCAAATATTATGATTCAACATGACCATTTYGAAAAGCCACAGCATTTTTGAATACCTTTAAATATTACCAATATTTTTGTATCAGTCCTACCAGCAGAATAGAATTTCAGGCATTTCCCTTAAAACCCTATTAAATGACTAATTTTATATATGAAAGGAAGAAATGTACAAAACTGTTGCACAGTGGTATGTTAATACCAAACAGTAGGCATGCCTTAAATCAAAAAGGGAAAAATATCACTAAAACATCCTTTATAGGAATGGATTTATACAAAGCACTTTTCTCCATCAGATTTTCAGCGAGTTATTCTTAATTGCTCAAGACAAACCAGTAGAATTGGGAAAAGTAGTATCAGAAAGCCCCATAGCAAATAAAAAAATCTGTTAAGTTACATTGAAAATGGTCAGCTCAGTATTATCAGCTCAAAAGTAGTASAACTATAAATTTGTTTCAGGAATGACCACTGCTGCATCTCTAGTCCATCCAAATTCTAACTTCATAATATTGCACATTGTAGTTCAAGAGATATACCCTTGTGATGCAAAACAGTATGAAGAAACCTAGTGGCTTTTCTTCCAAAATTACAGGCATAGACATATTTCAGCTTATAGAAGACAGCAGAGGCTGAAATTTCCCAAATTTAAAAAAATGATTTAGCTAAGTTATCTTTAGAGGTGGTCCAAAACTAAAGTGCTGTTTATTCAACAAAACCAAGTTAAATTCGCCCACATTAGTGATAAGCTTTGTTTCTTGCTACATTCTATTCTAGTGAAATCTACTTGCAAATCTTCATGCATCATTTTGCACTCAAATGAACAGAAATGCTTACTTCAGGAGTACAATTACTGAGGCCAAAATAAAAATAATATCCTATAGAAAGAACTGAAGCATTTACAGGTATTAGGGTCCTATACTCAAAGTAGTCACCTGCATATAGGGAAAAACTAAATGAATCATTCAAGTGCTCATCAGTTATTGAAACAGCCACGCAGCTGCATTACCTCAAACCTTTTCACACAGCATACAAACTCAGGTAACACTGCAATAGTAATTAAAGAGCTATCAGGAAGTTCCCTTCACCTATTTCAATATAAGGCAATAACCTCAGAAGGGCTGAAAAATCAAGTCAGTGCCAAAATATCTGCTGACAAAACATCTTTGTATGCTTGGCTCCTAATTTGYCCAAAAAGCTAAGAAAACTTCCATTCTTATATTTGGAAAACACTGATTTCCTGTAAAAGCAAATACTCACTTAGCAGCAGCAAATAAATATCTCCAAGCAGTTACAGAAGACAGAAAAAGGACCCCCCCCCCCCCCCCCCCCCAAAAAAAGGAGCTCTACAGAAGTGAAAATCATGGTATAGTCAGGGTTAAGTTGGTCTGTCTAGTATTGCTTTCATCCAGTGCTGCATGTAGAAAAATGCCCAAATTCACAAGGCTAGCAAGCACTTTCCCACTTCCCAGGACAGTGAAAGGAATCATAAATGCCATCCATTTCAGTATGGAAGCCTCATGCAAGCAACTGCTTTTCTGGCTACATCTGCGCAAAAACAAGGTCTCATTATCTTGCATCTTCCTCAGTAACTAACTCCTCGTACATTGGAGAAAATAATCCAAAGCTTCCCTTTTACTGTTTATAGAAAAGGAGAGAAAAAAGTGCAAAGTGATCTCTATGTTTATGTTAAAACAAACAAAAAAAAACTCCTAAGAGACTAGGAGATGCTTTCTGAAAAATACCCTGGCCTAGAAAATTCAAATTTAAATGCACTAACAGATGCACTTAACAGATTCCCCAMACCTCTAAGAAAAAATCTTAATGTTTTCATGGGGTGACAAAAACCAAGTAGCCTAATACACCTATCAACTGCTCATATCCTCTWATTTCCACAGAAAGATCCACTACAGCAGAAAGGAAATTTATTTAAACAGCTATTCTCCCTGAAGTGGTCATTTTAGTTGCCTTAAAAACTGCCACTAATTATGAAATGAGAATTTCTATAAACAAGMCATATAGGCTACAGTACACAAAAGTCAGGTATTTTAATGTCAATTTCTATCATATTGGTTTAATGTCTAAAAGAAGTTTCATGTCATTAAGATGAAAACTGTCACTTGCAGGTTCAACTGGCCATAACACCGTTTCGTACAGTCTGAACTGTGATACAGCCAGTGAAGATAACTTCAATATGTTAACATTCATCTTAACAGGTATTAAGTTAGCTATTAAGGGAACTGTTTATTTATTAAGTGGATAAAAATGGATAATGCCCTGTCAGGACAGAAAGAGGATGCTGAATTTAGTTCCTGACAGAGTAAAGGATTCAAAGTGGCAACTAAAGAACTGCATATGTATAGTTATGGCTAATAGAAAAGWAGTAAAGAAATTTGTAGGTGCAAGTTCCTACTCTTTTTAACTCTGACATGTGATGAGATTAGGAAGAGCTCTTCATGGAAAACCAGGTCATTTTCTAGCAAACAATAGCAAAATACAGTCTTTTGGCCTACAAACATAGACTTTCAGGATAAAGACAATGGTAGCTGCTTAGCATTCTGAAAACCTGCCCTGGAAATCCTGGTTAGTTTCCATTACGCAAACCTCACCAGGAGTCTGGCAGGGTCCTAACAGATTTAAGGCCTGACTAGTTCTTCCACTAGTTCTTCAGAAATTAGTCTGGGTCCAAAACAGCTAAAACTGAACGACCGAAACTACTTAGACTCTAAAAGGAGTCCTTGCAACCACAGTGCCTACATGACAATTCCCTCTTGCCTCAAAATGTCTTTTGTGATCACAGTGCAAGGAGAAGCAGCTTAGGCTCRTGTCCCAGGACATGCCAATATTGCCTAATGAGGCCTGCAGGCAAATTCAGCTATACACAAAGGCARTGAACTGAAACTACTCTGCAAGCCTTCGAAACCCCAGATGTGCCTCAAACCTTACAAGAGCTTTACTTTCCATCCTCTTGTTCATTCAACTACCTACTTCTCCCCTCCTGCACTACAGCTTTGTGCCTCCAGGAGAGAATGGCAATCCCTTACGTACCTAGCTGTTTCCATGCATCCCCTCCAAACCCCAAGACCTGGGAAGCAAGATGCAAATATCCCTRGAATGGCTGACACTGAATCAGAGCTAAAAAAAAAAAAAAAATCTTGAACAAACATTAACTCCTGATATGTACACTGTATATCCTATGCACAGAATTTTGGTGTCCCGCCCCCCCCAAAAAAYAGAGGTAACTACTACACAACGTAGTTGAAAATGAACTGGAGAGTCATCCCCTCAAAGTGATCCAGTATGCGACTAAAAACAAAATGGCACTCAAACTCAGAAGCTGGYCAAATACGCAAGGAAAACCAAGAAGTAGTCATATGCAAACTTCTACCTTCAGCTTCCTACCAAATCTTAAAAAAAGGCAGAGAATATAGGGCATGTAAAGTTGAAGAGTCCTTCATCCAGCATTAGGCCACAACATACAGTAGCTATAGCATGGTTAAGTGAGCAAGATAACTACCCTCAAACACAATGTTTTGTTGTTCTTCTCTCAACAAAGACCAGGAAACTGGASTCTACCAAGCACTGTAAAACCATCGCTAGACTAGCTAGCAATGCTGGTTTAAGATAAGCTCTGCCCCACCACACACTGGTGAGTGATAAGCTAGGGTATGGAAACCCTAATGTTACTATTGCCAAATATGCTTTGTCAAGCCATGACCTAATTTAAGTTCGGGGCAAGAAATACATATGCTAAAACAGGCAAGGAAAGAAAAACAGATSAAAAAGGGTAACCGACCATAAAATGAGACACATGTGGGAAAACAGAACAGAGGCAGGGAAAAGAGACACATTTAAYCAAAYCTATAACAGCTTTTYTTCTTTTGACTTAAAGTCTACCCAMTGCCAAAGTTGTATGCAAAACTGAATAACGACTCAATCTTAACATGAAACAGAAAAAAAAACCCACCAAGCTATATAATCAGCTACTCGCCTTATATGTCTGCAAAACAATGATCTGCAATTTTTTTCTGTAATGTTAAAAACCTGAGATATAGAGCCATAATATTAAGGCTAACTGTTCGTTTTAAAACAGCTTTTACTTTAGCATGCAGACAGTAATTCAACCCTTTATATATTTGTTCTTTCTCTCAAAAGAAGAAAACAAACTTTGTCAGGAATGTTTGCATCTTTTTAAGGTTAGCAACATATRCAAGCTACAGAAATGAACACTCTGCTTTAACCAAATTTATACCATTAAATGCTAATATAACTTTTTTTAGCTTACATATGAAATGCACTGCGCAGCAGGATTATCAACATTGTGGCATATTCTTACTGCTTGGCCACCCTTTACCCTGCAATGTACATCGTTCTGCTTAAACATACTGCAAGTCTAWTTACTGACCTGACTTTGCACATCTATGTGGGCAACTCATAGGATGTTTTCTTTCATAAGCAGACTGAAACAAAATATTCTTTTAGAAAATGCACACTCCTTTTCCCTATTCCCAAGAACTGGTGATTTTATGAAGAGTTTATGTCATCCTTTCAGGGCAGAGGTCCTCACATAGCGAAGTCTAACTTATTCTGTGAATAAAACTTGAATTCTGATTAAAAAATAAAAAGAAAAAGGCTTCTCATGAAGAGAAGATTAAGTCACTGGCTTCATTATCAGTATTTTTGTAGACATGCCATAGTGGCATGGCATTAATGATTCCTGCATTAACTCTAAAATTTTCTTCCCCATTTCCTATACCTTCAAACTAACAGAGCTTAAACATAGTCCTAACTGCTAAAAAGACCTGTTACAGACATTTAAGGAAACACCAGATTTCAAGAGGGCATAAAATACTCAGGGCATAAAATACTCATCTGCCTAGAAAATAAAATTATCAGTAAACACATACTTTATATAAAAAAAAAAAAAAAAAAAGCTGAAAATAAGCAGAACCGGAGACAGTCTCCCACTAAGAGTGACAACAGCGAGCCTCAAGAGAGCTGTTATTAAGCAAACGTGGCTTACAACAGTTCTTGTCCGCCAGTAAAGGGGAGGGGGGCTTGGGGGGCAGTCTCAGCACCGCTCTGTTCTAGAGAGGGACGGGAAGCTCCACGGGGARGCCGCGGAGCTGCAGCCGCACTCGGCCTGCTCGGCGCGGAGCCTCCTCCCTGCACGGCGGCGCGCAGCCGGTGAGCGCGGCGGGAGAGCCCAGCCCGCGGGCCGCCTCTCGCCCACCCTGGCCCGAGCCAAACCTTGGCTCGCCACAAGCGCCAGGGGCTCTCGGGCGGCTCCCCCCCGCCCCGCCCGGGGAAGCGACGCCTCGCTGAGGGAAGCGGCCGCGCTCCTCAAAATGGAGGAAGGGAAGGAAGGAAGGAAGGAAGGAGCCGCGCACTGGCCGCGCCGGAGCCGCCAGGCCCGGCCCAGCGCAAAGGGCAGGGAGGATGAAGGGCGGCCCCAACGCTCCCCCGTCCCGCAGCCGCCTCCAGCCCGCCCGCGGCCCCGCGCTGC